TTCTTGTTCGTCTCTGCAGTTAACACAGGTCCCGTATGTTGAAATTCCTATTTTGAGCAATCGATCTCTAGTTGGTAATATGTTTAACAAAGACATCCAAGCAATCAAACTGAATTTAGGAATGTGCATGGGAAACCAAATAAGATTATGCCAAGGAACTTTCTCCCTTTTGATACGGATAGCCTCCCAAATATCTCTTAGTCCAAGAGAACTTGAAGAGGAGAAGATGATGAGGGCAGTAGGACGCAATTTAAGAAGTCTATTAATACTCCAGCTCACATTAGAACCTGCAACAAAATTCCAAAAATCTTGATCTTTGAAAACATAAGTTTTTAACCAAGCCACCCAAAGCGAGCCATGACCCGCTAAGATTTTCCTAATAAGATCAATAGAACACGCTTTGTTCCAGATTTTAGTGTTCTTTAGGCCAAGTCCATCTTCCGCTTTAGAGAAGCAGATAAAATCCCAGCTTACTCGAGCACCTTTGGCAGGCTTGTCGTCACCTTTCCAGAAAAATCTGGAGCAGAGTTGGTCCACTTTGGCAAGAAAAGAATGAGGAAGGATAAGTTGTATGCACCAGTAATTCGAGACGCTGAAAAGGACAGAGCGGATAAGTTCAAGTCTACCACCGTAGCTCAGATTTCTAGCAGACCAATGGTGAAGCCTCTGTTTAATTTTTTCGATAAGCACGACACAATCCTTCTCAATAAGTTTATGAGTAACAAGGGGAATACCTAAGTATCTCACAGGTAAGCAACCTTTTTTGAACCCAAAAATAAGTTGAAATAGGTCAACTGATCTAGGAGAACAGCCAACAGAAAATATTTCACATTTGGAGGAATTTAGGTGGAGCCCAGAGATTTCATAAAAAAGGTCAAGAACACTTAAGACACCCATAATAGAGTCGGCATTACCCTTACAGAAGATCATTAAGTCATCAGCAAAAGAAAGATGGGTAAGGCCAATCCTTTTGCATTTTGGGTGGTAACCAAACCCTCCTTTGGCAGCAGCCAAATTAAGCATCTTAGATAAAACATGCATGGCAAGGACAAAAAGAGTAGGGGTGAGAGGATCACCCTGCCTTAAACCCCTAGCTCCCTTAAAATAACCAATAAGAGAGCCGTTAAAAGAGATGAAATACCTAGCTTGAGTGAAACAAGTCTCAATAAATTTTGATTACTTTTACTCCTTAAACTTTAAAAAATTATATTTTGATCACTTATATTATCAGTTTGTTAAATTTTGATTACTTACATTATCATTTTTTGATAAATGAAATGTCACTTGTTTTATCAATTATTACATTTTGGTCACTAAATCTTTAACATATGTTAGTTTTATGACATGACATATTAGTAAAAAAGTTTAACTTTTAGTTTGATCCTTGAATTTTATATATGATATTATTTGACACTAAACTTTTGATAAAATATCATTTGGACCTCAAAAATTTGTATAAAATATCAATATAACCTTTGAATTCAACCAAAATCTCTATCTATCTATTGTCACTGCTAGTCACCGTCGATCGACATTGATCGTGGACTATTGTACCTTAAAATGTATAGTTCACTCTTTTTTTTTATTAATCTAGGATAAATGCAGATAATATATTTTTAAAGATAACTCTCACCCATTTGACATTTCTGATGCTTAAACTCGAGACCTCAAGAAATAACAATAATTCTTTTACCACTGAGTTCGCTTGGTTTGTGCAAGAATTCTAAGTTAAATCTAATAATCAAGTGACTTTCCATACACAATAATATACATCTAATATTTTTTATTGATTAATCTGGGATAGGTACAAGACAGTATATATTCAAAGATAACTCTCAACAATTTGACATTAAAAGCTCATACTCTTAGCATTTATGGTGCTCGAACCCGAGTCTTCAAGGAATAACAACAATTCTTTTACCACGGAGACCACTTGGTTCGAGCATATACATCTGATTTTTAAATTACAAGAAATGAGATAATATAAAAAAACTAACATTTATTTTCTTGAAGAGGTAATTTAACTTAATTTATTAAGATTTTTTATTTATGTAAACTATGGAGTATCAAATTGAGTTGGTGGGGGAGGGGAATAGTCCTTCTCCAGCTCTTCGTATGAGTGAGGGTTTTTACTTAATGGATAGATTAATGAGTGACATTATAATATAAACATAATTAATACATATAATGGAATTGCTTCTTTCTCTTCCTTTTGTTTCTTACTAATGTAAACCTCGTCAAAATATATTTTAATTAAGGCACATATAGCTCAGCCTGCATCACATCAATCCTACTCATTTTTCTTGACTGCTTGCAACCTAAAAACACACCATTCTCATTCTCAACAAATCAAATATATACTGATTGAAATGTAACCCTCAATTTATTAAGACTGTCTTGGAATCATTTCTATTATTTGAGAAAAAAACTAATATCAGCAGTATGAAGAACAGAAAATTTATCCTGAGATCTAGTGGTGGATCCAGAAATATTTTTAGGATATATACACATATTAACTGCATGAAATTTTTATTTGAGGTTGACACAAATAAAATCTCATTACGAACACAATCAATAAAATAAATAATTAAATCAAAAGAATTAAATGTCAAGATAGCCATTTGCTTACCCTCACCCTTACTTCTGCCACTTATATATATATATATATATAAAGAAAAGTGAGGGCGCTATAATCTTGTACATTATGGGGAAGTACCTTAGCAAAGTTCCGACAACAAAATCTTATGTGTGCAGCCCTTGATAATTTGTTGTCGAGAAAACGACATATGGAGCCAATGACAGCGATCTGATAAAAAAAATTCAAACCTTTCTCTTTTATCAACCTGATAAAGACCACCTACCGGTTTCAATAACCTAAATTAACAATGTTTGTAAGAAGATATACTAGCGTCAGCCATGGCAGTAGCGGCAACACTATCTCTAATCCCTTTAGAAGTAGACTGTGACCGGTGGAAGTAATCCAGTAACTAAAAACAAAACAAGATAATTAAATTACTTGGCTGATAAGTGTTGAAAGTCAAGCCATTTCGATGTAATTAATGCACTGAATGGCAATTGTTAAAAAGCTTGAGCTGCAGAAATTGTTTTCAACATTCGGTGCAGCATTTGTTGATTTTTCAACAATGATAAAACCTCAATTTTTAGCCATTGTAATTTAGGGTATTTACAAATTAGTCTTTAAAGCTTCAACTATAAATACCCTAGCTCATTTAGCTTCAAAACCATCCCTAAGCATTCTAGTTTTCTTCTAATACTAGAGAGAATTTAGAGAGTTTCTTGAGAGTTGTTTTCTCCTTTTTATCTAGAGAGAATTATCATTGTTTTCTCCTTGGTAGATCGAGAGAGGTTGTAATTCCTATTTTCTCATAGTGAAATTCTTCTACTGTTGCCCGTAGTTTTTACCCTATATTATTTAGAGGTTTTCCACGTAAATTTTGTGTCTTCTTTATCTTCATTTTTATTTTCTCAAATTATCAGTTGCGATTTTGCTCTATCCGATAGCCATCTTCCGCACCAATTGGTATCAGAGCTAGATTAGAGTGTGTAATATATGCTTATTGTCTTTGTGGTTGCCACCAAAAAGGTGGATCCTCCAACATAAGAAAGTAAGAAGGTATTACCCATTCTTTGAATGTTCCAGAGAACTATTCACGATAGTGAAATAGTTGGAGCTATCCGTAAAAGAAGCTATGACAACGAAATTTGATATTGAAAAATTCAATGGGAGAAATTTCTCATTGTGGAAATTGAAGATGAAGGTCATCCCGAGGAAAGACAGGTGTCTAACAGCTATCAGTGAAAGGTCGGTAGATTTCACAGATGACAACAAATGGATCGAAATGGACGGGAATGCTATGGAAAACTTTCATCTAGCATTAGCAGATGAAGTATTGTCAAGCATCGAGGAGAAGAAGACAACTAAGGAGATATGAGATCATCTCACCAAATTGTACGAGGCCACATCGTTGCACAATAAAATTTTCCTTAAGAGGAAATTGTACACTCTTCGTATGCCAGAATCTACTTCAGTGACAGAGCACTTAAATACGCTGAACATTTTATTTTCTCAGCTTACATCCTTAAGCTGTAAAATAGGAGAACAAGAACATGCTGAACTTCTACTTCAAAGTCTACCGGATTCGTATGATCAACTCATCATCAACTTGACAAACAGTAATGTCATCAGTCTAGTCTTCGATGACGTTGCGGCTGCTATTCTACAAGAAGAAAATCGGCGCAAGAACAAGGAAGACAGACAATTAAATCTGCAACAAGCAGAAGCGTTGACAACGACGAGAGGGAGATCAACAGAACGTGGCCAAAGCAGCAGTCACAAACATGGTAGATCGAAGTCGAGGAGCAAGAAGAATTTAAAGTGCTACAACTGTGGAAAGAAAGGTCACTTGAAGAAGGATTGTTGGAGTCTAAATAAAAACTCTAATCCACAAGGCAATACCGCAAACACTTCAGATGATGGGTATGCTCTATGTTGTGAAGCGTCAACCACCGTGGAAGGAAGAAATGATTTGCAGATATATGGCTCATTGATTCGGGGCAACATATCACATGACCTCAAGAAGAGAATGGTTCCATCATTATGAACCTGTCTCAGGAGGATCTGTGTATAGTTGCAATGATCATGCCTTAGAGATCGTTGGTGGAGACCATCAAATTGAAGATGTATGATGGAACAATTAAAATTGTTCGAGATGTGCGACACGTGAAAGGCATGAAAAAAAATTTATTATCCTACGGATTGTTGGATAATAATGCAAGCAAGATTGAAACACAGAAATGAATCATGAAGGTGTTCCGTGGAGCGCTTGTGGTGCTGAAAGGCGAAAAAATAACAGCAAACTTGTACATGCTGAAGGGAGAGACTTTGCTAGAAGCAGAAGCCTTTGTTGCCTCGTGGACACATGTCAGAACAAGGAATGAAAGTCATTGTGGAGCAAAACCTACTTCCAGGCTTAACAAAGGTAACACTTCCTTTGTGTGACCATTGCATAACAAGTAAGCAGCACCGGTTGAAATTCAACAAATCAAATTCTAGAGGCAAAAGTGTTCTAGAATTGGTTCACTCTGACGTATGGCAAGCACCAGTTACATCCTTAGGTGGAGCAAAATACTTTATCTCATTTATTGATGATTACTCCAGGAGATGTTGGGTGTACCCTATCAAGAAGAAGTCAGACGTGCTTTCAACTTTCAAAAACTTCAAGGCGCGGGTGGAACTTGATTCTGGAAATAAGATCAAGTGTTTCAGAACAGATAATGGAGGAGAATACACAAGCGAAGAATTTGATGACTTTTGCAGGAAAGAAGGCATCAAAAGACAGTTCACAGTGGTGAACACTCCTCAACAAAATGAAGTGGCAGAGCGGATGAACAGAACCTTGTTAGAAAGAACAAGAGCAATGTTAAGGGATGCAAGCCTAGAAAAATCATTCTGGGCAGAAGCAGTCAATACCGCATGTTATTTGGTGAATCGAGCTCCATCAATTGCAATAGAGCTGATGACACCAATGGAGATGTGGACTGGTAAACCAGCAGATTATTCAAACCTCCATATATTTGGAAGTATTGTGTACGTGATGTATAACTCCAAAGAAATCTCAAAGCTGGATCCAAAATCCAAGAAATGCAAATTTTTGGGGTATGCTGATGGAGTAAAGGGGTATCGCTTGTGGGATCCCACTGCTCGTAAAGTGATCATCAGCAGGGATGTCATCTTTGTAGAAGATAAGCTACAAAGAAAAGAAGACGATAATAGAACTGAAAAGTCAGAGACTACACAGATACATGTGGAAAAAGAGGTTGAACAAGGAGATTCTTCTAAAGCAGAACCAGCACATGATAAACAAGAACTAGAGAGTTCTGAAGCTCCAACAACTTGTCAATCAGATCGTGTGAAAAGACGTCCCAATTGGCACTCAGATTATGTTATAGAAGGTAATATTGCATACTGCCTTTTAACAGAGGACGGTGAGCCATCAACATACCAGTAGGCAATAAATAACTCAGATGCTTCACTGTGGATGATGGCGATGCAAGAAGAAATTGAAGCCCTTCATAAAAATAATACATGAGATCTTGTGCCACTACCACAAGGAAGGAAGCCAATTGGTAACAAATGGGTCTTCAAAATCAAGTGAAATGGTGACGATCAAGTTGAGAGGTATTGTGCAAGACTGGTGGTCAAATGATATGCTCAAAAAAAAGGTATTGATTTCAATGAAATATTTTCTCCTGTGGCTCGACTAACAATAGTTCGAGTAGTTTTGGCAATGTGTGCTACATTGGAGTTACATCTAGAGCAGCTAGATGTTAAAACAGCTTTTCTTCATGGAAATCTTGAAGAAGAAATTTATATGCTCCAGCCTGAAGGTTTTGAAGAAAAAGAAAAGAAGAACTTTGTTTGCAGGTTGAACAAATCTCTGTACGGTCTAAAGCAGGCGCCGAGGTGTTGGTATAAGAGATTTGATTCTTTCATTATGTGCCTTGGATACAACAGACTTAATGCAGACCCTTGTGCTTATTTCAAGAGGTCTGGTGATAACGATTTTGTTATTTTGCTGTTGTATGTGGATGACATGTTGGTTGCAGGACCCAACAAAGATCATATTGAATAATTAAAAGCACAACTGGCTAGAGAATTTGAAATGAAGGACTTGGGATCAGCAAACAAGATTCTAGGGATGCAAATTCACCGAGAGAGAAGTAATAGGAAGATTTGTCTTTCACAAAAGAATTATTTGAAGAAGATCTTGTCACGATTCAGCATGCAAGATTGTAAGCCAATTTCTACTCTTCTTCCTATTAACTTCAAATTATCCTCCAGTATGAGTCCTAGCAGTGAAAAAGAGAGGATGGAAATGTCTCGAGTAACGTATGCATCAGCAGTGGGAAGTTTAATGTTCGCTATGATATGCACAAGACCAGACATTGCACAAGCAGTGGGAGTAGTTAGTCGGTACATGGCGAATCCAGGCATAGAGCATTGGAATACAATAAAGAGGATCCTAAGATACATCAAAGGGACCTCAAATGTTGCATTATGTTACGGAGGATCAAATTTACTAATCAATGGGTATGTAGATTCTGACTATGCAGGGGATTTGGATAAAAGTAAATCTACTACAGGGTATGTGTTCAAAGTTGTTGGTGGAGCTGTAAGCTGGGTTTCAAAATTGCAGTCAGTTGTGGCTACGTCAACAACAGAAGCAGAATATGTAGCACCTACACAAGCCAGTAAAGAAGCAATTTGGTTGAAGATGCTATTAGAGGAGTTTGGGCACAATCAAGAGTATGTCTCTCTATTTTGTGACATTCAAAGCGCCTTGCATCTAGCAAGGAATCCAACATTTCATTCAATGACAAACACATACGAGTTCAGTACCATTTCATTCGTGAAAAGGTGGAAGAAGGGACAGTATATATGCAGAAGATCCATACCAAATACAACATAGCAGATTTCATGACGAAGGCGATCGATGCTGATAAATTTACCTGGTGTCGATCCTCCTGTGGCCTGTCAGAAACGTAAGCAACATGAAGGTACAAGGTAGAAAGAATGGTGTGAAGATATTATTGTTCCAATCAAATCTTCAAGTGGGTGATTGTTGAAAGTCAAGCCATTTCGGTGCAATTAATGCACTGAATGGCAATTGTCAAAAAGCTTGGGCTGCAGAAATTGTTTTCAACATTCGGTGCAGCATTTGTTGATTTTTCAACAATGGTAAAACCTCAATTTTTAGCCATTGTAATTTAGGGTATTTACAAATTAGTCCTTAAAGCTTCAACTATAAATACCCTAGCTCATTTAGCTTCAAAACCATCCCAAAACATTCTAGCTTTCTTCCAATACTAGAGAGAATTTAGAGAGTTTCTTGAGAGTTGTTTTCTCCTTTTTATCTAGAGAGAATTATCATTGTTTTCTCTTTGGTAGATCGAGAGAGGTTGTAATTCCTATTTTCTCATAGTGAAATTCTTCTACTGTTGCCCGTGGTTTTTACCTTATATTATTTAGGGGTTTTCCACGTAAATTTTGTGTCTTCTTTATCTTCATTTTTATTTTCTCAAATTATCCGTTGCGATTTTGCTCTATCCAATAGCTGTCTTCCGCAACAATAAGTTTAAAGGATCGATATGGTAATTCTGTACTTTATTTTAAGTTCATAGGACAACTTAGAAGAGTGTTGAAACTGAGTTGCTTTGTCAACTGCTTTTGCTCTTTAGTGAACTGCTACACACTTACTGCAGGAGCTTCATGTCTTGTTAATTGTATATTATGTCACCAACTATTTGTTTATGGATAATATAATTGGGGGGGGGGGGGAACGAACTGAGAAAGAAGAATTATTTGTTTATGGATGAAATGATTGGTTGAAAAACCCTAGCAAAACAAGCTTCTGGAAACGGGTTTGTTTTACAATCTGCAATTGGACTACTGAGTACTGAGTAGTGTATGAGAACGGAAAGTTGAGGCCATCACGTCATTAACCTAATCAAGCAGACTAATAGTGATTTAGTGGATAAGGATATATTAGTTGTATTGGTTTCTAAGTAAACATAACATGGATTAATTATCATGTCATGTTCTTTCAAATCTGTTTAGTTGTTGAAATTTCTTCTTCATGATCACTGTAAGTCGCTGCAGATCCCAGATCATGAAAACTTGAGTGATTGAGTTGCAAATCTTTTCCGACCGGTTCACGCAATTCTTAAAAAGACATATTTACTAAGACAATGATTGCATATCTGAATTGATTACCAAGGACTATCATCTATTGACTTGCAAATATTGTTTATCTTGCAAACGGTGACGACAACTGAAGAACCGAGGGTATCGGACGAACGGAAACACCCATCTGAGTCGAACGGCTCTGGCAGAGAGACTCACGGCGGCAGGGACGACGACGAATCAAAGTAAAACGGAAAGACAAATGGTTGGGTGAGAGAAAAGAAAGAAAAAACAGTTGGGGTTCAAGAAACAGAAAAAAAGGGAGGGAACGAGTGCTGGGTGGTTTAAAATTGGAAAATGAGTAAATTATGCAAACAATCCCCCAACTTTTGAAAACATGTAAAACGTTCTGAAAATTAATAACTATTCAATTCAACCCCAAATTTTGGGGTGTGATAGTTTTAATCCCTAATTCACACATGAATTAACTTTTATAACATCCCTTCTTTAAAATATGAAGTTGCAAATTTTAAAATATTTGTGTTAGTTTAAAAGATCAAATCCATAAAGATGTGAGATCGCATCATTATCAACAGATTTTTTTTTCGCACTCCAAAATTAAATTTTATTAGAATAAGCAATATTGACCAAAGGTTAAAAAATTGCCACTTTTGTTTTTCTTTTCTTCTTCTGCAATTAACTAAAACATATCATTTAATGCTCCCAAACCTTACTGTTTCCTCTAACATTCCATTTCTTCATACCTTTTTACCCCATTAGTTGATTTGTACATATTACTGCTGTAACCATTCTTTATTATTGCCCATGTGACTTGCCCTAGTTATTTTGTTCATTTTCTACCTGTCCATAAATAATTGTGGTAAAGGGGAGAATGTTGGGAAATAAACGAATAACGAGTAATTTCCTTATAACCAGATTAATAAGAATGTGAAATAAAAGCGGAAAAATAATACCCGAAATTGTTAACGGAGTTCAGTAAATTTTTCCTACGTCTTCGGACTGCTGCAAATCTTTTACTAAAGAGAGAAAAATTACAGGTGTTTACAAAACACTCACAACTCATAAGAAAACTCTCTAAACTCTTTAGTATTGGGAGGAAGAAATGATTTGGGATGGTTAAGAATCTAAATGTGATAGAGTATTTATAGTTGAAGCTTAGGGACTAATCTTGTAAATACCCTAAAATACACTGACTAAAGTTGCAATATTCCCATTTTCATTTTCAACAAAAACAGCACCGAAATTGGTGCATTAATTCCCAGCCAAAATTATTGAAAGTTTTTTGCTTATGCTTGACTTTTCAACAATCTCCCACTTGAAGACTGATTTTAATCTGTCTTCATACCTCGATCGATGCAACAATATTTGTGGTCTTGTTACTATAGCATGCCAACTGAAGCTGAAAACAACTTCAGTTTGTCTGTAGTCAACGTCCTGTAAACTCACTTGCTATTGGGCAGTTTCTCCGTGGTTGCTTTGTCCCTCAACGTCTTGGCTTCCTTCGACTCTTGTCCACTAGTCTTTGAAGGATTGTTATTTACTTGAACATCCTTGGCAAGCCCTTGTTTCGACCCTTCTCTTAAGATGGTTTCTGAAGTCATGTTCTCTACACGAACATGCTCGACAAACTCCTTGGACACGGACAACTCTTCTTGCACTTGGCTTCTACTCGCCTTGGCAGTAACAAACCGTACTGAGCCAAGTCTCAACGCCTCTTTGATCCTGGGTTCGTCCACTTCTCTGGACAGCTCGATCCTGGCCTCATCCATCACCTTGGATGACTCGACTCCCCTCGGGTATTCTCGCAACACTTCTGGCATCTTAAGTTTGTGCCCCCTCGTTTGCTCGACTCTTACCCTCGGCTTAGCATCTTTGACACTTGAACTTGTGCCAAGACAGCACACATCTTCCCCAAACTTACCTTCTGGTTCATCATTGAGTGGACTTTCTCTGCCACTCGAGGAACAATATTCCTCATCCTCTAACTTGCCTTCATCACCGAATTCCTTGTCGCCATCCTCAGTTTTCAGCTTTTCTTTGGAAGTCTTGTTTGTAACATCCCAAACTATGGGTTAGTGATTAAATTGTAAAATTTTAGAATTTGGTGATTAAAGTTGAATAGTTCAATGATTTATGTGGAGATATTTCCTGAAAGATGTTAGTAATTATTAAAAGAATAAAAGGGCAAAATGGTCATTTGAATTGAAAATGATATATATACATATGAGGATAAGGATGAGGAGATATTTTTCTCCACTTCATCATCTTCTTCTTCATCATACGAGAGAAAGAGGAAGCCAAGCTTGCAAAGGTAAGTTTTCTCATTAGTTGATTATTTGTTGATTTAAAGTTTGAGTTTTGATCATTAGATGATAACTAAGCTTAAGGAAAGCTTAAGTTATCTTAAGATCAAAAGAAAAAGAAGTTATGAAGAATTAAAGAGAATGGGTTTTTAAGTGAATTTCTGGAAAAGAGTTGATAAGTTGAATTTGAAACTAAATTTGACTTGTCATCAACTTAATTAAGAGATATGAAGTGATAGAATTGGATTTAGAACATCTTAAAAATTTGGTATGATTATTGATTTCCATATGAAAGATGGAATTTGAGATTAAAGATGAGATAAATGGATATAAATGAGTTTAAGCATGTATATTTGAATTAAGAATATGAAAGGGGATGAAACATGAAGAATTGAAGTTGGAAATAGTGAATTTTCGTGCATGAACAGTGATTTTCTGGGCAAGGTATATCGATGCACATTCAAAGTGCATCGATGCATTCTTTAAAGAAGAAACATCGAATGTAATTTGTGCACCGATGCACAGGTAGTGCATCGATGCACCGTTAGGAAATGCATCGATACACTGTAGAGTGCATCGATGCATACCTTCATTAAAAGATGAAAATGGCTTTCTTTTAGCCTATGGAGTGATAGTTTAGAATATATCAATTCACATACTGATAAGTATCAATATATTACTATATAGATTTAGAGCGTAATCCCGTTCCAGAACAATCGAAGGATTAGGATTTATTCGAATCAAAGAAAGGCTAAGGTGAGTGCAATTTAATTGTACTTATGTTATTGATCAAACATTGGCTTACGATGAGCCAGTGAAGGAGTTACTATGGTAAGAAGTGACTCTTGATATGTTATTGATTTGTGAATGATGTGATTCTTATGTGTGTATGAGTATATGAAAATTGGTAAAGGTGTCATATGTTATTATATATGACATGATTTACATAATTACATGTACATGTGATATGAATATGATATGTGAACATAAGTGATTAATTGACATGAGCTATGTAACTATATGAAAGCAAGAACATGTGACGTGAAGTACATGATAAGAGGATATGATACTCTGTAAGAGTATTACATGATATGAAATAAAAGAGTTATGAGTTATATATATATGAGATAGATGGTTACACGTACATATGGTACGTGACAGAAAGGAAATGAATAATGTGTGAACTGTTATAAATTACAATGCCCATGTTATGTGATATGAGGGCTAGGGTATAGTTAGCATGCCAAGGGTCGAGGGTTCCCTATGTTCTTCGGGACATATGGACTGTTTTACCTATGTTCTTCGGGACATATGGACTGTTTACCTATGTTAGGGTATAGTTAGCATGCCAAGGGTCGAGGGTTTACTATGTTCTTCGGACATATGGACTGTTTACCTATGTTCTTCGGGACATATGGACTGTTTACCTATGTTTAGATGGTTACACGTACATATGGTACGTGACAGAAAGGAAATGATATGAATAAGTGATGTGAACTGTTATAAATTACAATGCCCATGTTATGTGATATGAGGGCTAGGGTATAGTTAGCATGCCAAGGGTCGAGGGTTTACCTATGTTCTTCGGGACATATGGACTGTTTACCTATGTTCTTCGGGACATATGGACTGTTTACCTATGTTCTTCGGGACATATGGACTGTTTACCTATGTTCTTCGGGACATATGGACTGTTTACATATGTTCTTCGGGACATATGGACTGTTTACCTAGGTTCTTCGGAATCTATGGACTGGTCCTTCGGGACATTTATACGAGCTATTGTGACAGCATAGTGGTGCACAACCTCAATGTACTCACATACCTTAAGTTCTCAAAAGTATACATGGGCTAATACATGGTCTTTAAAGAGAGTAAATAAATCA